AGGTGGCTGCTGGTCTTATTGTCCAGACACACTCCCTCCCCACCCCTACCCCAGCCAGGTTCTCAGTGCAAACCTGGTTTGCACTGGGTGAGTCCAGAGAACCCACAGCAACATCTCCTGACAAGAAATCCACATTTCATGGCCACCCACGAGCAGCCACCCGTGGCCTCCTGTGCCTGTATCCCTGCCGCAGTTACGTATAGGGCTGGGTTCAGAACTTGGTTCCCTGATGGTATGATACTGGTCCAGGAATTAGTACAGAATCGTGGTTAGGAGTCTAGTCTCTGGCGGTCAAACAGATCTTAGCTCTGTCACCGATTACCTCTGCAGCTTGGGAAGGTCACTAAAGCATGTGAATCCCTGTGTCCCCATCCATGTAACAGAGGTGATACCCATCTGGTTGTGGGCTTAGGAGGATTTAGTGGGATGGATGACCCGCCATACAGTAGGTGCTCAGCAAGAGTTACTCCTTCCTGCTCGCCCCTCGATTAGAGCTGGGTGCCCACCAAGGGGAGCTCTGCCAGGCCAGGGGCAGGGGTGGGGGTCACTTGTGAAGCAAGCATGTCCTAGGCATCCAGACATCCCAGGGCCTCCCCTGGGCCCATCCCCAGCACTGTCAGCATACAGCTGCTATTAATCATAATAATAACCACAGTGCAGATGATTTTGGTTCATCACTGGTGACATTACCATGAGAATGGGGCACCCCAAAGTGTCTGTGCGAGGCCTGGTGGCTGGCTGCCTCCCAGGCCTGTACCCACACCTGCCTAGGCTGAAGGTTCTTGAGTGGCTGTCGGTCCTTCCTGCAGATGCAGCCCTGAATTTCCAAACCTCCTCTGACCCAGAGTGTCAGGAGTAGGTTGCAGGGGCTATTGGAAAGAGAGAGGAACTGGGAACCTTGCCTTTTCAGCAACAGCTTCCCACCCCTCCCCACCCCTACACCCCACCCAACTCCATCCCTGGTCATGCCAGGAGAATGTCAGCTGGCCAGGCCACAGCCCTTCTTTCTTGGATTCTTGGGACGTTCCTACTTTGGGCTGTAGACTAAACTCCATTTCTGAGTCCTCTAGATGCAAAAATATCCTTAGGTAATAATTCCATCCAATACTCGCATGGCCCTGGCAGTGGGTACTGCCCTGGGCCGTGTAGTGCCTCCTTTCCATCCTTGCACCAGGGGTGTGAATTCAATGTGCCCATTTTGCAGGTGGGAAAATGGAGACTCGGGGCTGCTCAGGGTCACACAGCTAGTAAACAACCCTTGAAGGTGTCCCCGATTCTAGAAGCAAGAACCCCCTGGGCCCTGCAACCCAAGACCTCACTAATGGACCTGTGTCCTATTTTCCTGCAAAGGATGTATTCTGTCAGAGCCACTGTGTAGAACAAGTCATGTACTACTATTGAAAGACTAAAATTTGGACCATTTCCTCATTTCATATATAAATTAGGACAGTGATTCTCAACTGGGGCTCTCCTGCCCCCGGGGATATATTTGTGAAGTCTGGATGCTACTTGGGTCTAGTAGGCAGAGGCCAGGGATTTTGCTAAATAGCCTATAATGCCCAGGACAGTCCCCAGCACAAAGAATGATCCAGACCAAATCCAGAACTGCAAATTCCTGGAGCCTCTCTTGACAGGGTTCTCTCCTCCCCTAAGTGTGGTCCACGGGTGATTTTAGGGAGGATGTGCACAAACATTGTTTTCACCTTAAACCTAATGTGTACTAAAAAAGGGCTAGTTTCCATTTATGATCATGTTAGAAAGTAACCTATTAAAAATATACCCATGAAAAAATCCACTTGCAGTGAATAATGGTCTAGAATAGTACCATCTAATATAGTAGTCACTAGCCACAGGTGGCTATGGAATTTTAATTTTTTTAATTGTATTTAATTGAAATTAAAAGTTGAAGTCCTCAGGTGCACTAGCTGGATTTCAGATGATGCTCAGCAGCCACCATGGCTAGTGGTGCTGCCTTGGGTCGCACAGAAAGAGAACATTTCCATCATCATGGAAAGTGCCATTGGTTAGCGCTGCCCTGGAAGGTGTACAGATAAGGGCAAGAATCACGACTATGGGATATGAAGAAGTATAGTTAGGAGAGCAGTTTGGCACAGCAGACATCGCTCAGAAGCTACCCTGGAGGAGCTGTAGAATCCAGCTGGACCCCAGTCCCCACATGCCAGAGGCTCTGGACCTTCATAGCCTCACTCTTAATGGTTGGAGACACTCATCCCTCTTCCTATATTAACTGGCCGTTTCCTGGGAGTCTTGAATCAGAGGAGACCTCATAGGAGGTCTGCTCATATTTTAGACCCAAATGGAAAGCTCTGTACTTGTTAAGACTTATAATGTGGAGAAGAGAGTCAGCTTCTTTCTTCTTCTAAGAACTCATCCTAAGGAATAATCATAGATGTGGATGAAGGGATGTACTCACGGTACCTACCCAAAGATGTTCATCACAGCATTGTTTACAGTGATGAAAAGGGGAGCCACCCAAGGCACATCAGCCAGGGTTGGTTGTATATATTAAAATAGATGCATGGATGGCCTGATGAATGCCAATTACATTGGCATTCTTTAAGTTTCCAGAACACCCCCAGTAGGGTGTGCCTTGGACCTTTGTCCTGACTTTCCCATCTGCCTAAATATTCTTCCCCTTGTTCATGTGGCAGGATCCTTTATGTCATGTCAGTCTACGCTCACATTTTACCTAGAGTCAGCTCTCTCTTATCTTTGACACATTCCCCTGTTCTAACTTGTGCATAACGCTTATCACTATCTGTATTTTTCCTATTTATTTAATTCATTTGTTATCACCTTCCCCTACCAAAGTGCAGGCTCTAGGAGGGCAGATACCCTGTTACTCATACTCACTGCTGTGTTCCTGGTGCCAAGAATAGTGTCTAGGCATAGTAGGTGTTCCATAAATACAGTTTATCCTCCTTATTTATGGATTCCATATTTGCAAATTTACCTACCCACTCAGATTTATTTGTAACCCCAAAATCACTGCTCACAGTACATTCATGTCATTCACATGTGTGCCCAGGGCAGTGAAAATTTGAGTTGTCTGATGCATGTGTTCCCAACTAAAGTTGAACAAGGAGACGCTCTGCATTCTTGTTACAGCTGCCATACAGAGATGACTGGGGGCTGGAGCCGGGAGGGGGCATCGCAGTGCAGTGCAGGAAGCTCCAGCTCTGAGGCCAGTAGGACGGGGTTTTGCAACTCTGGCATCTAGTTGTGGGGCAGCTCCAGAAGTGGCACTCAACACTTCTGAGCCTTGTTTGCTCTTCTATGAGATAAGAAAACAGAATGTACCAGGCTGAATTGTTTTTAGGATTTAGCATGATAATTTGCGAGGGGTGTGTGTGTGAATACATATTTCCCCTGGAGCAGTGATTCCTTATTTGCTCATTCAGGGTCCATGGAGACTTTATAGGCCATGACTACCACGTTTAATGAACTCAGCTGTATTTGTTGAATGAAGATGTAGAAGGGGGTGCCTTAAGAGGCAAGGGGGCCCAGTGATGGTTTAGGTGTTGAATCTCTCTCCAGACCAGCCTTCCCTGTACCTCCCACTGGGTTTCAGTCTCATATAAGGTCAGGCAGTGCCCAGAGCAGGGGGGATGCAAGAAAGCCAGCAGAGACGCCAGGCACTTGGGTTGGTACTGGGGGTCTGGCCCTTCCGGGCCGTGAAGTGGGGCTCACTCTGTTCTGCTTCTCCAGGCGGGAAGACAAGCTCCGCATCCAGAGTGGCTGGCTGTGCCACCTGGCGCCGGAGATCATCCGTCAGCTGTCTCCCGACACAGAGGAGGACAAGCTCCCCTTCTCCAAGCACTCGGACGTCTTTGCCCTCGGGTAGGTGGCCCGCCCTGGCCTTCAAGAGTCCCAGCCCTGGCAGAGGGGTGCCTCCCAAGACTTCCACTGGTGGCTTTTGGCAGAGCCGGGGCCAAGGTGGTTGGATTTATGGGTGAAATGGAGGTGTCCGAGTAGGTGTAGTAGAAAGGGTGGCCCTAGCAAACCTTCATGCCTACTGTCGAACTGGTTATGTAACCCTGTCAAGAAACCTGACCCATTCATTCACACAAGCAGGAACTATTTACCAGATGCCTATTACCCAAGACTTGGGGGCTTAAAACAACATATATTACCTCAAGTTTCTGCGTTCGGGAATTTGGGAGTGGCTTTGGTGAGTGGCTCTTAGCTGGCTCCGGATCTCTCATGAGGCTGCAGTCAAGGTGTCAGCCAGGGCTGCCATGTCATCTGAAGGCTCGATGGGTCAAGGATCCACTTCCAAGGTGCCCGCCCATTCCGTGGCTGTTGGCGGGGGGCCTCAGTTCCTCAGCACATGGGCTTTTCCATACGCTGCTTGAATGACTTCACAACACGGTGGCGAGGAGCCACACTGCCTTTATGACCTGGTCTCGTGCATTACATGTCATCATTTCTGCCATATTCTATTTGTTAGAAGCAAGTCACTAAATCAAGAGGAGGGGAACTAGGCTCTACTTTTTTGTAGGAAGGAGTATCAAAGAATTTGTAGATGTATTTCAAAATCCCCAATGGTCCCTGTTCTATCTGTTCTTGTGGAAGACAGACAAAGAGAAGGTCAGTATTAACAAAGTATAATGAATGCCATGCTGAGGGTAAGCACAGGACTACGGGAATAAAGGAGGAACTAAATCCAGCTGGAAGATCAGAGAGGGCTTCCTGGAGGAGGTGACTCTGAGTCTGAGTTAAAAGTTGAGTATTAGTAGGCCAAACGAGGGTAGGGTGAGGTATCCAGATAGAAGAAACATGTGAAAAGGCACAAGGGCAGCAGAGAACAGACAGCCCACAATGGAGGAACATATGGGGGTGGGGGAGGAAAGGGAGCTGAGGGATGGAGAATCGCGAGAAAATGAGTCTGGGTGGTGACATGGGTGGAACCAGAGAGGAAAGCAGTGTCAGTCCTGTGGGGACTTGCCTGAGCTGAGTTTTTCACTTCATCTGCACAGCACTGGGGAGCCGTTAATGGTTATTAGGCAGGGGAGTGACATAATCATAATTTGAGTTTTAGAACAATCCCTCTCCTGTGTGAAGAATGGAAAAGAGAAAGACACCTGGGAGCTGGGTAGCCAACGCCTTCTCCGCTGAATCATGCCGGCGGGTGTGAAAGCTGGGAGCGGCCAGGAGAAGCATTTAATGGGTGGATGGGATAGGGTTTGATGATGGGCTGAGTGTGGGTGGTGGCCAGGTATCTACCTTTAGCACACAGTGGGGAGTGATGTCCTTGCCAAGGTAGAGAGCCTGGAGGTGGGGCAGGGTTGGGACATGTCCACAAGGCAGAGAGAGCAGATGTGGACACAGTGAGTTCGAGCTACCTTGGAGGTGGCCAGTGAACCAACCGGAAGGCAGCTGACTGTGCATGTCTAGGGTTTGGGCCATGAGAGGGAACACGTCTTTGCAAGTAGAGAGAGAGGGACAGGGTGCAGGACACAGCCCCACGACATGGAACAGAGCACTCCCAGAAGGCACAGCAGGAAGGGCTTCTGTGCTCCCACCCCTCAAATGGCCATGCCCATCCTGACCTTACCTTGTCCACGGTGTGGTGGCAGGGACTGGCAGAGAGAGGGCCGGAGGAGCTGTTTGGGAAAGTTGCAGGCCTGGAGATGTGTGCCATTCGACTTAGGACCCCCAAAATGGTAGACCATCTTCCATGGAAAAGTTCCCCCCACCATGTCCTTTCTTGGGGTTGGGAGGAGGGTATTTGCTGACATGTCAGGATTCTTGACATCTATCACTTGGACCCCTTTAGAGACTGTCATCTGCACTGATTAGTTTATGCCCACATCTTTATCTAGTTAGGGATTGTTATCTAAAACCAAATTGCAATAATTAAGTTGCTAAATTTCAGTATGAATTTAGCAAAAGAGAAAAGAAGATAATTAACAAAATGTACCAAAGTAAAAAATTGGCTTTCCCCTGGAGCTTTAATCTTTCGCAATTTTATTTTCTTAACGTGAGTTTCTCTTGAAAGTTGGGTTTGAAAGGAAGCTTTAATGAGGCATTTATTCCTGACACTGCTGAATTCCGAGGGACCTGGCTGTCTTGGTTTCCTGCCAATTAGGTGCCTCTTGTTGCCTGGGAGCGTCATGCTTGGTCATGACTTCAAACAAAAGTGGACTTTTAACAGCATGCTGAGTGGGCACCGTGCTGAGTTCTCATAGGTGCCGTCTCACGGAATCTTTGCAAGGTCCCTTAGGAGCAGGTACCATTGCTGCTTCCAACCAACTGGACGCAGCAGGCTCCCAGCGGCTCAGTGACCTGCCTCACTGCAATCAGCAGCAGAGCCAGGAGTCCACTTGGGACATCCTAACTCCAGAATTGGAGTTTTTTACCCTGGAGGCTTGGGAGTCACTTCACCCCTCAGAGCACTAGTTCCCTCAAGCCTGAGTAAAAGCTGATAAACCCGCTGAGGTGCTCTAAAGACTGAAATGAGAAAATCTTGCAAGACACTCAGCACTGGACCAACCTTCTGATAGGCTACCTTCCCCCTTTTATGTGACCAGGGCCTGCAGCCTGTCCATGCCTCCTTCTCCAAGCCCCAGCCAGTACCTGCCAGGTTGCCCTCCCAAACTGCTCACTGCCCCAGGTACAAAGGGCTTTTGGATAGGATGCACTGTCGGTTTCCTGACATAGCATAATGGCCAGTAGTGTAATTCTGTAGCCAGCTGGGCTGGATTCAACTTCCAGCTATGCCTCTTATTTCCTGTGTGACCCTGGGTAAGATACATCACCTTCCTGAGCCTATTTTTTTGAGCCTACAGTTTGTTCATCTGTAAAGTGTGGATAATGATAATGCCTCCTATTTTAAAATGAAAGTTTTATTATTATTGATAATAAAAATGGTTTATTATTATTGATTATAATAATGATGATAATAATGATAATGCCTCCTATTTTAAAATCAAAGTTTTATTATTTTTCAGGCCTGAGGCCAGTAGATCAGGAGATGACTGCCATTGAACCGGCAGTTCGTTATGCAGGGTTCCCAAAAGGAGGGGGCACATCGTATCCCACAGGGCCACGCAGGGAAGCCCTAGGGTCTGTCAGGAGACAGAGGGAGCCGGAGGCAAATAGGCAAATGTGGGGCAGAGCCTTTATTGTGGTTTCCTTAGGCAGGGGTGGGTGAGGCCTGGTAAGCAGGGGTGGGGAGTCTCTCCAGGGCCAGCAAAGCCCCAGATGTCAAGTCATCGTAATAAAAAGGCATGCTTGATACACCTCCCTGTAACCACAATAAATGCGTAATGTCTAGCCTAGAGGAGAAGCTCAATAAATCTTACTGCTTATTATGACGATAATAATCATCTAGCAACTTGACCTGAGAACTTCCTGACCATCCAACTCAACATGCCAACGCCTGAGCATTTCTGCTCCTCCCCACCCTGGAGGGACAAGATGGCAGGGGAGAGAACGTGCTGCAAGTGGGGCCTTAGAAATAACTGGCTGCACGCAGTCCTGTGACCAATAAAGAGGAGAACAGAGCGCTTCATTTTTTAAAACTCATTTACATAAATTGTCTTAGATTAGAGGAAAGCGAGTTTTCTAGGATTGTTTCAGCTATTTCCTGAGTTGAGGAACCTTGTTCCCTAGGAGCTGAGACCTATTCCTAAGGGACAGCATGCTATGAACGACCCCCGGCCCCACGTTCCTCACTGCTGCCCGTGCCTCCCAGCTTCACCTATGCACGGCCCTGCCCATTGCCCCTTCCGTCCCGCATACTGCTCACTGGAGCAGCCCTTTCCTCACTCATTCTGGTGTCCCAATCCATGATGCAGAGGCCCTCTAGAATAATTCTGGCATCAAATTGTTCTGGCATTCAGTGTCCCAGGTAAATATCCTCCCCCTGCAATTTTGTCATTATTCTCCTTTGGCAGGTCAGGGAACCTCAACTCAGAGAAGTGAAGCTACTTACCCAGTGACATACTACTAGTATAGAATAGAATCAGGACTTGAACCCAAGACATTCTGACTCTCAAATCCTTTTTTTCTTTCCATTATTCCATGGGATGGTTAGTACTTAGAAAACGCACATATAAGGAAAGTCCAATCCTGTATCCCAGAGTGAGCCATTGTCTCTTTATTCTCGTCTGTATCTAGATCGTTTTTTAGAAGAGTAACTGCATACCTTATGTAGTCTTGTATCCTACTTTTTTTTTACTTAAAACTATATGTTGAGTATTTTATCATGTCAGCAAAATTTATTTAATTGTTTCAATAGTAACAGTATTCCATTAAATATGGATTTACCACAATATATGCAACCTGTTCTTTTTTTTGAACAATCACATTACTTCTGCTTTTTTTCATATCATATATGATGCTGTAGAGAACATCCTTGTGAATGATTTTTGTATCTCTAATTATTCTCTTACAGTGGTTTCCTAAAATCACAAATACAGGGTCAGAAATCCTAACCATATTGAGATGAACTATTCAGATTCTAGGTTTTCACTCATTTTAACTCAGATGCCAGAGAAGCAGAGAAGGTATGCTGGAATAAACATGACCTCTAAGACATCAAGAAAGCTTTATATGCATCCCAGTTCACAAACATCAACCCTGTGCAGAAGAAACTAGGGGCAGGGGTGGTCGACCAGCAGGCTGACCAGCAGGCTGGCTGGCCAGGTGTGCATTGGTGAGGAGACACAGAGCCACAGTTGACATATCAAACCAACATCCCTTTAACAATGTCTACCAACAGCACAATTTGGTATGAACTCCACGCCAGAGAGTGGCCTTTCAAGACCCAACCAGCAGAGGCAATAATCTGGCAAATGGGCACTGGCATGAAACCCAACCTCAGCCAGATCGGCATGGGAAAAGAAATCTCGGTAAGTCCTGGGACAGTGCCAGGGCTGGGGGCATGTGGGGAGAGGAAGCAGATACAGTCCTATGTGGTAAGGTTACAAATGCTTTCCCAGAGGAAGAAACTGACGCACAGCCTTGCAGATCACTGGAGCTTAGAAGGCAAAGCTTCTGAATTATGCCTGCAATTCCGGTTCCCGCCATCAGGGGAGCAGTAGTGCTTGGCCAGGTTTTTCCTAGCAGTGGATTGCTGAGTCGGGTAGAACCAGTGAATCCCATTTTCTGTTATTTTCTAAAGATATTCATTAAAATATCACCCATACTAATAGTACTAATTTATTTGGATCTACATAAAAATTGTTAAGGCATTATCCAATTGGAACAAGATACACGGAAACAGAGAAGTCTGAGTTTAAATACAATAATCATCCTCTAAAATACTGCAGGAAGTGTGCTTTCTTTTGAATAGAAGACAGATGAGTCAGAGAATGAGCAATTATCTGGTATGTTTTTAAGGGTTACCTGCCTCTAGGTTTCCTTTCTCAAATGAGGGTACTGAAAGTAACTTTGACTTTGACTTTGAAGAACACTTAGAGTAAAGGGATGTGGAGAGAGACCTCAGGATTCCCTTTCCTCCCTCACTTTTGTGAAAAATGCCTAGAAGCTCCTCAGGCAGCATTACTGATCTCAGTGGATCCCAGACCTTCTAGAGTAGGGCCTACCTAGTTTGCTTGCGGGCTCAGCAATTGGATGCATAGAAGGATGGCTGGGTGGGTGTGTGGGTGGGTGGATGGATGGGTGAGTGGATGATGAAGGAACATGGAAGTGGGGCAGTGGGTAGACAAATAGGTCCAATGGGGTATCAAGGAGTAATCAAGAATTCGCCATTATGTTAAATCACCACGTGTTGGTTTCCTGTAGGACATTCTTCTCTTTTGCTGGGCCTTTGAACAAGAAGAAAGACCTACCTTCACCAAGCTCATGGACATGCTGGAGAAACTGCCAAAGCGAAACCGCCGCCTGTCTCACCCCGGACATTTCTGGAAGTCTGCAGAGTAGGTGTTCTCCCTCTGCTGCTCTTGTCCTCTAGTCTTTGTCACCATTTTGCTTTTTAGATATATTGGGGTAAATAAAATATTTGGCTATATTGGGATAAATAAGATCTACTTCAGCTTTTAACTTTTTTTAATATGACTAGAACACAATGACTTACATGACTTGCCTGTTTTGTTTTGTTTTTTTTAAACAGCCTTGTTGCGATAGAGTTCACATATCATATAATTCTCCCATTTAGAATGTACATCTCAGGGGGGTTGCGTATATTATATCACTATTTTTTTAATTGTGGTAGAATATAGATATAAAATTTGCCCTTTTAGCCATTTTCAGAGCACAATTCATTCAGATTACATTCACAGTGTTGTACGGTCATCACCATAGTTTCCAAACCTTTTTTTGCCACCCCGCACAGAAACACTGTAACCATTGAATAAAACTCCTGGTTTCTTCCTCCCTCCTGGCCCCTAGTAACCTCCCTCCTACATTCTGTCTTGATGAATTTGCCTAGTCTAGATGTTTAATGTACTTGGAAGCATACAATATTTTTCCTTCTGTGTTTGGTTTCCTTTACTTAGCATAATGTTTTTGAGATTCATCTGCACTGTAGCATGTAGTAGAACATCATTGCTTTTTATGGCTGCATAATATTCCATTGTGTGTATATGCCACATTTTGTTCATTTGTCTGTTGGTGGACACTTGGTTTGCTTGCACCTTTTGGCTGTTGTGAACAGTGCTGCAATGAACACTGGTGAATCAGTGTCTATTTGAGTCCTGCTTCCAATTTTTTTTGGTTGCATTGTATATCCATTGCACAGCACTGATTTGGTCACCACCATGTCCACCAGCACAGTCTTCATCACCTCAGTACCGCTTATTAGACACATGTGTGACAGGTACTGTGTCAAGCATTCTGTCTGCATTATTCCCCGGAATCTCAGAGTCCCCCAAGGTGGTAAGCGCTGTTACTGTCTGTTTTACTTAAGAGAAAACCAAGGCACAGAGAGGTTGAGTGCCTTTCCAAAGGTCACACAGCTAGTAAGGAGTACAGCAAGTAGGAATCCAGGTTGGGCTGGACCCTAAATCCATGATCTTGGTGCTGCCATTCTGCTACCTTCTGGGCAAAGATTACCAGACCTCTGGGTCTCTTTCCAGAACCATCTGGGAGAGTGGGCACAAACTTCTGCCTGATTGTCCAGGTCCTGACTCAACAGTAGTCAGAGCCTCTGCTCGCAGCAGGAGGCTATGGTGTAGATTCTGGTCTCAGTCCCTCTTACCAAGCATTCTCAGTAACTCCACATGGCATGCAGGCTGGTGTTCCAGGACCACATGGCCTCAGCCTACCCCAGCTCCACATACTGGGTGACCATCCCTGGTTCATAGGCTACATGGTCCAGTAGGAAGAGTTCTAGGTTCAAATCCTGACCCTGCTGCTTCTTGGGTGAAACACTTACCTACTCTGAACCTTTGTTGTCTCATCTGTAAAAAGGGTATAACATGCCTACCTTGCAGACTATTCTCAAGCTTAAATGAGATCAGATATGCATGGCCTTGACAGAGAGCCCAAGCTCAGTAAACAGAAGTCCCTCCCATCTTTTCTTGAGTACAGAAACAACTCATCTCAAACCGCCTGGCCCTCTAAGAGAGTGCTAATTCACAAAAGATGACATTGTCATGTCCATGTGACCTCATGCTGTTCTCTCCCTTCTCTCCCTGCTATAGGCTGTGACCATTGGACAGAGGGATGGCGCTTGGCTGCCTCAGCCCCAAAGACACCTCTCCTTCCCTGCTCTGCCAGCTCAGGAGGCCAGAGGCTCATCATGAGAGGGTACCAGACCCCCAGCCTGGGAGCAGTGCACCACTGAACTGGGCGGCTTCCCCACACCCAGACCCATGCCCTTTGGCTTGGGCAGAGTTTGGGGACCCCTGAGCTAGGACTTAACAGGACCAGCCAGGGAGACATGGAACTGATCGGGGCGGCCTGGGGACAGTGTAGAGAAGAGAGCTGCAGGCTGGATACAGAGCTGCTGGAGACCAGGACAGGAGCCCACGTGGGCAGGCTCGAGGGACTGGTCTGCGTGTACACATGTGTACGTGTGTGTCTATGTGCGTGACACCATTCACTTTTGGTTCCCCTTGACAGGCAAGAGCCAGGCTGCCCCAGCTCTGGAGTGCCCCTTCGGCTCTTTTGGTCTCTGGGTGGTGGGTTCCAGCCACACTTTCTGGAAAGATGGGATGCGGATGAGCACCAGCTTAGAGGAGGCTACAGGGCTGCGATCTGAGCATCCGTTCTCGGAAGCGCCAGCCCAAGCCTGTCTCAGCTGCGGCACCACTGCCTAAGGCTCCCGAGTGCAGCAGAATGGTCTTGTGTGTCTTTTGAGTTCTGAGTCCTCCGGGAATATGGCTCCCCACTTCTGCCACCTTCGTTCTGTGACAGCACTGTCCCTTTTTGCTTCACTGCCCCCCCACCCCTTCCATTTGGAAAGCACAGTGGCTTCCTGGCCAAGATGACTTCTGGGGGCTCCTTACATCTCACCTTCATCCATGACACTCCCTGAAGTCTGGGGCTCCAAGGGGGAAGTTCTAGGACATTCCTTTTCCTCTGCTCTGGCACTTACACCAGCTACATTTGTCTACAGTGGTGGATGCGGGTCCTGGGATACGTGTGTGTGGGACTATATGGCATATGCCCAGCATCCTGTTTGCAAAGAATTCTCCCTACCCTTTTCACCCTTAAAAAGTCCTGTTGGGAGGCAAGGAGGGTAGCTGTTGGCAGAGGTTCTGCATTCTCAGTCCAGCCTGGTGCTGAGTCCCAAGCGGCTGCCCCATGGAGGCCTGTCTGTGCTTGCTCAGCACCCTGCCTTCCACCCCTTCCCCCTGCTCCCCAACCTGGGCTGAAGGCTTTTCCGGACTGCGTTGGGATGCAGCATTCCCCAGGAAGGGTGCTCGGAGCAGGTCAGGCGTGCACAGTGATGGGGTGGGGGGGGCGCCTCCGTCTCATGTCCTTATGTTCCATCCCTTCTAAATGTGTGTCTTACAACCCCTGGACCCCATTCATCTGGCCTGGCACCAAAAGGAAACCTGCCCCCCAGCGGGCAGTAGCATGGCCGTCCGTGCAGCAGGCAGGATGCTCAGCGTCAGACCGCAGCCTCTCTCTACCTCCTGGGCACTGCCCAGGCTTACTTTTCTGGTCACTACCTTATCCAGACGTTCCCTCCCAGAGCAGGGACCCAAGACTTCAAAAACCCTACCTGAGCTCAGTGTGTGTGTGTGGGTGGGGTGGGGGGCTTCTCCATTTGTTCCTGCTCTGGGGGACAAGGCTACTTCCAAATCAGAAAAAATGATGAGACTGGTCATGCTTGCCAGGACCCTGGCCCACGGGGAACACTTGTGCCCCCTGAAAAGCCTTCCTCCGTGCCTTCCCCGTGCCCCCGTGGGGTGGGGCCAGAGACCACAGCCCCCGTGGAGATTGCTCCCGCCTGGATATGCCTCCTCCAGGGATGTCTACAACTCTGTGGCTCTTGGCTCAACATCTGCGTGTCTTGGAGGCATTTTACACGCACTTGCACAAGCCTCCGCCGGTCTGGTGTGGCTGGGGGCAGCTCTTTTCAGCGGCTGACCAAACAAGTCACCAGGGGGATGAGCCTCAGGCCTGGGCTTGGGCCTGTCTTGGCTCCGCCCAGCAGCCTCCTTGAGGGCCTGAAACCCAATCCTGTCTTCTTAATCCAGCCAGGACATCTGGGCTCTGTGAACTCCAGGCTTTGTCATGGAGCTGTGTGCTGGGAGAAGGAATGAGAAAGGGGAAAAGAGGCAGGGAGCAGGTATCCTGAAGTTGAAATGCTCACTGAAACAGCATCCCGCTCTTCTTGTCTCTCTCGTTTCCAGAATAACTAACATGGCCACCCAGACCTTTGGTCAGGCCTGCATGGCCTCCGTAGGCTGAGTTTTCCGTATATTCATGAGCACTGGCTTGAGGTTGATGACAGAATCTGAGGGACCCAGGGAGAAACCCCAGCCTTCCCTGCCTCCTCAGAGCATCCTTTTTGCAGAACAGGGCTCCCTGGGTCCCGCATCACCTGTTCCCAACTTCTCCCTCTTGGCTCACGCCCTTACTGTGCCCCCGCCTCCGTCCCCCGACCTCCACAGCAGTCAGCCTGCACCAGGCTTCCGGCCCCTCCCTGCCACCCTCCTCCAGGCTACACCACCCTGAATTGTTTAGAGGCCAGCTTTAACTTGCAGTAACTTCAGTCCAGGAAGAACCAAACCACTGCTTACCCTGCCGACCTCAATCTTTATTCACTAGTGAAGTATTAGGAGATCATATTCATTAATCTTTTGCAAGGAAAAAACGGGGGGATGTGTATTTTTACATCATAATTGCCAGCCTCACCTGTGACTCACTCTGTAGAAGCCACACAACAAAGATTGTGTGTGTGCACTTGTCAGACCACAGCTGTGGGCAGGTGCCCGGTGCCCAACAGCAGGTGGCTTCTGTGTGCCTTGCTTGCTGCAAACCCTTAAAGACATAGGTTTCCCCAGCGGACCAGGCCACACAGTGAAGGTTTACCAGGAAGCCTTGCCCTGCCTGTTGGGAAGGGCATGTGGATTTGCCCACTGAGTTCCAACTCTTCCCAGCCATAGGTGTTGCATTAAATGGGGACCCCTTTGCAGGGGAACCCTTACAGCCTCATGTGGGGAGATCTCCACATGGCCATCCCCAGAAGGATGCTGGAGACTCAATGTCTCCACTTAGTTCCATTTTACCCTGGTTTTCCTTTTGCTGGCCAACAAGAATTATCTCATGTTGCCAGGGAGCCTCCCTGTTCCTTTGTGCCTCTGACTTGGATTCTCGGGCAGTAGAAGCCCACTAGACTCTCACGTCCAGGAAACCTATTTCTGCCTCTTTGCTACTTACCACTCTATGTGCACATATCCCACTACCCCCCCCCACAAAGAAACAGACACACACACACACACACACACACACACACCCCACACACA